ATCCGGCGTCAAGGATTTAAGACCAGCTCCTTGATCACTGGTTTCCTGCCTAGATAACTATACCCAGTTGTACGGTCTCTCCTTTGTGCCTTCAGGCTTAATTCATTCTGTCTCCTGCAGTAATATTCACCGAGGGAAGTGGAAACTATAGTTTTTTCTTCTTCTCCTCTTATAATATCTTCTGATTCACTTCGTTGCGGGAACCAAGACAGTTACTCATGTCCCTGGGACGCGCAGGACATCAATGTTACGGTGATTTCATGATTGTATCTACTGTAGATCCTGGCTTACAGGAGTTGCAGCGGTTTTGGGAACTTGTGGCGGGCTTGTCCCATAAAAAAAAGTGCGTTCTTTTCTTAAAGGTTTGAAGGTGGTATCGGATCGGAAATACCGTTGACGACAGATCATTCCACGGTTTTGGTGTGCTGTGTAGTCATTTGGGGAGGAGTGTGGGAGGCAGTGGACGATACGTGGCTGATGATGATGATGGTGAAGGTGATGTTTAATATTCCATACCTGCAGTAACAGCTAATATAGCCAAGAATACACCAAGCACTGCCGCCGCCATTTTCATGGAAGTCCAATTTGACAATGAAGGAAAATCGCGAAAAACACGAACTATTGTAGTATAAATTAGGGTAAAATGTAATCTTTGCGATCTTAATGCTAGATTATAATCTTTTTAAGTAGTTATAATACATAATTATATTGTAAAAAACAAATCTTTGATTGCATTAACAGGGTGTTGCTGTATATAACAAGCTGTGTGATTACGGAGTAGAATACTACCATCAAATATGAGAGAAAGTGTGGGAGACCCATGCTTCGGCACGAATCAGCCAGCTCGACAGAAGTGATAGCAGAAAACCGACGTGAAACAAAACTTGCGTTGTGTTTCGTCATGTGTGTGAGGTTACCGGAGGCCCAATTACCAAAATTCCCTTCCCCAATCCCTGAATCCCCAATAATCCTCAAACGCCTTATTCCCAAACGGCCAGTAACGTACTTGTAACGCCTCTGGTGTTCCAGGTGTTCATGGGCGACGTCGTCAGTCACAGGTGTTCTCCATGAATGACGTTTAATGTGTTTACCTCTCCCCACACTAGGATTTTCTCCTGTATCGTGGGTGAATTTACAAACATACAAGTTCATATACGCAATTTGTAGATCAGACAAAGATTTGCTCCGTGCGTATATCGAACTCGGTAAACATTGTGCGGCAGCCGGCCCCATTTTTGATGGTCTGACAAATATTTGTGGCACAGAACGCTACGCACCGTATGCGCGGGGCTGGTTCTGGTAAGGCGGCGACATAACTTTTTTAGATAGGTGTACAACTTTTATATAAGGTGGCCTTAAATCTAAACTCGCCAAACTTAGACCTTCGATGGCGATAGCTCATTATACAAACAATTTCAATTGTTTTATAATAATTAAGTAGGTAGGTGAAATGCAATATTCCTTTTTTCTTTCTTAACACGTAGGTACACTATAACTTGAGCAGTACATAGCAAGTATTTGTTAGACCACCTGCATTGCATTACTTAAATTAAATTAAAAAAATGTCTGCCTCGTTGGCCGAGTGGTTTCAAGTGCGACTGCCGGGCAAGGGGTCTCGGGTTCGATTCCAAAAGCAAAGTGTTACTGGGTTTTTAAAAAATGCTCAATAATAACACGGAATCTGGAATTGTGCCCGATATATGGCAATAGGCTCACCCCCTATTACATGGGACTCGTAACATAAATACTGAAAAGTGGGTGTTACATTGTGCAGTGACATTATGTGCACCTCTGCCCACCCCATCGGGGATAAAAGGCGTGATGTTATGTTACGTAAAAAAAATCCGACACAGTAATAAACAATTTTTCATAAGACAACTAAGTAAAAAAAAAATCAGCTCGCCATCCGCAGACCCGTGCTCACGGTATACAAAGATCGTCGAGCATGTAAGCACCCTGTATAGGATCGTTTGATAACTAAGCTTGTCGCGTCATATCACGTTTACATACGTTTCGGGGTAATCAATCATTCATATTTTACACGGGGAAACCACACTATTTTAACCGACTGTCAATAAACAATTTGTTGTGTATAGATTGTCACGCTGCTTGCTACGCGCAGTAGTTACAGCTGTGTACAGTCTGTCACTCTCTCAGCACTCCCCTACACTCCCCTAGCGCGCTACATGTCACACAGCTTGCAACGCGCAGCAGTTACAGCTGTGTACAGTCTGTCACTCTCTCAGCACTCCCCTATACTCCTCTAGCACGCTACATATTGTACAGCTTGCTATGCGCAGTAGTTACAGCTGTGTACAGTCTGTAACTCTCTCAGCTCTCCCCTATACTCCTCTAGCATGCTACATATCGTACAGTTTGCTATGCGTAGTAGTTACAGCTGTGTACAGTCTGTCACTCTCAGCACTCCCCTACACTCCCCTAGCACGCTACATGTCACACAGCTTGCTACGCGCGGTAGTTACAACTGTGTGCAAACTGTCACTCTCTCAGCACACCTCTACACTCCCATAGTGCGCTACATGTCACACAGCTTGCTACGCACAGTAGTTACAGCTGTGTATAGTCTGTCACTCTCTCAGCACTTCTCTACACTTCCCTAGCGCGCTACATGTCACACAGCTTGCTACACGCAGTAGTTACAGCTGTATACAGTCTGTCACTCTCTCAGCACTTCTCTACACTTCCCTAGCGCGCTACATGTCACACAGCTTGCTACGCGCAGTAGTTACAGCTGTGTACAGTCTGTCACTCTCTCAGCACTCCCCTACACTCCCCTAGCGCGCTACATGTCACACAGCTTGCTACGCGCAGTAGTTACAGCTGTGTACAGTCTGTCACTCTCTCAGCACTCCCCTACACTCCCCTAGCGCGCTACATGTCACACAGCTTGCTACGCGCAGTAGTTACAGCTGTGTACAGTCTGTCACTCTCTCAGCACTCCCCTACACTCCCCTAGCGCGCTACATGTCACACAGCTTGCTACGCGCAGTAGTTACAGCTGTGTACAGTCTGTCACTCTCTCAGCACTCCCCTACACTCCCCTAGCGCGCTACATGTCACACAGCTTGCTACGCGCAGTAGTTACAGCTGTGTACAGTCTGTCACTCTCTCAGCACTCCCCTACACTCCCCTAGCGCGCTACATGTCACACAGCTTGCTACGCGCAGTAGTTACAGCTGTGTACAGTCTGTCACTCTCTCAGCACTCCCCTACACTCCCCTAGCGCGCTACATGTCACACAGCTTGCTACGCGCAGTAGTTACAGCTGTGTACAGTCTGTCACTCTCTCAGCACTCCCCTACACTCCCCTAGCGCGCTACATGTCACACAGCTTGCTACGCGCAGTAGTTACAGCTGTGTACAGTCTGTCACTCTCTCAGCACTTTCCTACACTCCCCTAGCGCGCTACATGTCACAGAGATTGCTACGCGCAGTAGTTACAGTGTACAGTCTCTGAGTTACCAGTGAAAAGCACCTCAACTGCCCGTGACTGCTGGATTAAGATTAAAATAGATTAATCACATTGTTCAGATAAACAAATAGTTTATCTTTTTGATATACGAATATAAACGTTATAGTATAAGAAATAAGACCGTGTTCATCAAACTGTTGCTGTGGTAAGTTAATTAATTTCTTTTTTAATGGGATAAGTCGGTGAACTAATATGGATCACCTGATGGTAAGCAATCGGCGTCGCCCATGGACACCTGAAACACTAAGGCGTTACAAGTGCGTTACCGGCCTTTTGGGATTTGGGAAATGGGAAAATCATCGAATAACATCGAATAGTGTTAGACTCTTACTAAATAAAAACCACCCTGTTCCTACTCCTGCACTTCGAGCCGGAGCCCCGATAACACGTTAGGTTCTCCGCGGCTCCGTATCGGCATCAGCCCTATTGGGCCCCATTCGTGGTGGTCCGGTAGCTCTTTGAGGCACGCGCGGAACGCAACACGCCGTACGCTCGGGTCTGGTTCTGGTCCAACGGCGAGTTACCCATGCTCGCCGTCCGCAGGCCCGGAATTTTTATTAAAACTATAAAAGGTGGATGTGTCCTCCACTATGCATAGGTAAAAATCAGGTAATAAAACTAGGTACTTATCGTAATTACTATATTTGAATTAGCCTTGTGAGTAAGGAGATTCATCATTCGTTGTCAAATAGTATATCCCGGTAGCTCTGTAAATAAAAATAAAATACACAATATTAATTTACTTGCTAATTAATGTACAATATTAATATAAAGTCTAATATTTAAATAATAAAACTAATAATAGAGGGATTTGTGCCGAACCCGGAATCGAATCCACCACCCGCGTCGCTGATGAACGTACCGTGCGCTTTAACATCGTTCAGCACGCCGGTGTTGGAAGCAAATGCTTGTGGTGTCCGGCAGAGGGCGCGGTGGTGATAAAAGCGCAAATAGCAACACCGAGGCGAGCGCCAACGCCAGCCAGTGAGCTGCGCGACATCGCCGCGACCGCGCACGCTGCTCATGAGGAATAATCCCTCTGTGGTTCGAAACTAGTAGAGCTTTTCTCAGTATATTCACGTGAGCAACCCGCGATTTTTAGTTAAATGTCACATTGGTACTTGTCGTTAGTAGGTTTTGAACTCTCGTGCATGAGAAGCGGGCATCTTAAACCTCCGAATGCCTCCGATTTACCTCATCATTATAAAACAAAATAAAATAAATGTTTTTTTTAAGTCGGTAAACGAGCAGACGGATTACCTGATGGTAAGGAATCGGCGCCGCCCATGGACACATGGAACACCAGAGGCGTTACAAGTGCGTTACCGGCCTTTTGGGGTATTAGGAGTTTGAGGATCGTTGGGGATTCAGGAGATTGGGGAAGGGGAGGGTAATTGGGCCTCCGGTAACCTCACTCACACGATGAAACACAACGCAAGCGTTGCTTCACGTCGGTTTTCTGCTCGGCCGTGGTATCACTCCGGTCGAGCCGGCCCATTCGTGCCGAAGAATGGCTCTCCCACACTTAATTTCGGATATCTTACCCGGTCTTAGCGGTGGGTCCTCCCATCGGCAGAGTGTCTGATTCATCACAGTCTTTCTTAACGAGTTGAAAAATGGAGTCACATCGCTGTCCAGTGAAACCGCCACTTACGAGAGATTCAGCCATGTAGAAGATACATCTGGAAGAAGGTCAAAAGAAAAATGAGCTCTCTAATATCTTTTGGAACAAAGAGTTTCCTTTTTCTTGTCTAAAAGCACTATTTTTATGGATTGGATTGCATAGATATGTGAGCACCATGTTAGACTATAAGATTGTTTTTTATTTTTATTATTTTAGTAAGGTTTGTAATTAGTACCTATAATGCGTCAAGCGTGTCTTTGCATTGTTCTCACATATGCGTACAGTATTGGAATATGTATCAGAGACATTGTAGAACATACTTTTAAAAAAAAATAGTAACGAATGGAGTTTCTTGCTCGTTCTCCATTCGAATCTACATTTTGGAATGAGCACCTAGCTTCACTGACGGACTGACTGACAGACTATTATTTATTTTGTATTTATTGACGTTTCAAAAGTACCAAATTATGGTTTAATTGAAATAAATGCTTTGACTTTTTTTTCTAATCAAATCAAATGGCTTTATTTGCTGAACAGTGTAGTACATAATTAGTGATTAAGGTGTTATTTATTTTTGTTACATATATCTCTTTGTTCTACCCGTTGGGCATGCAAAAAAACTTTGCCCCACACTAGGATTTTCTCCAGTGTCGCGGGTGCAAACATTTTTTACAAACATACAAGTTCACATACACATGACACCCAGACCCGGAACAACAATCTGTGGATCACACAAAGAGTTGCTCCGTGCGGGGATCGAAGCCGCGTCATTTTACGCGGTAGCCGGTTGCCCGGCCACCGCACCGACCGTGCCGTAAAAATGTGTCCTAATGTCCTTTGGTCCCATTTCACCGTAGACTTGGACATGAACATGTATCCATCAGTACCTACTAATACAATCACTTATTTGTACATGACACTTGTTTCTTGGCGTGAAATAAACTTTCTTTTTCTTTCTTCTTCCTTCTTCTTTTTTTACCTAGGACCAACGCTTTTGCCTGTGGTATCGTGGGATAAAAAGTAGCCTATGTTTTATTCCAGATTGTAATCTATTCTTGTTCCAAATTCAATTTTATTATATTTACTAGCTTTTACCCGCGGCTTCGCTCGCGTCACAAAAGGATAAAAAGTAGCCTATGTGACATATACCAATACACAGCCATCTATACCAATACTTTTGTTTTCCCTCGGGAATATCTAATTTTTCCGGGACAAAAAGTACCCTATTATTCAATCCGGACTTCTAACTTTACGTCTGCAAAAATTCAAAGCAATCGGTTTAATACTTACAACGTGAAAGCGAAACAAACAAACTCACTTTTCGATTTATAATATTAGTAAGGATTAAAAAAAATTGCATGCCATATAGTAGAATGTACCAGGAACGATATACATTTGTAAGACCTTATATTATGTACCAACATTCAAGGCAAATATATTATTTTATTCTATTCCGATCCCTACAGCCGTTGACGTGATTGAGTTAGTAACATACTGTTATAACCATAATAATATATACAACTAATGTAGATAAGTGTGGGAGAGCCATGCTTCGGCACGAATGGGCCGGCTCGATCAGAGTGATACACGGCCGAGCAGAAAACCGACGTGAAGCAACGCTTGCGTTGTGTTTCGTCGTGTGAGTGAGGTTACCGGAGGCCCAATTACCCTTCCCTTTCCTAATCACCCCAATCCCTGAATCCCCAACGATCCTCAAACTCCTAATCCCCAAATGGCCGGTAACGCACTTGTAACGCCTCTGGTGTTCCAGGTGTGGGCGACGCCGATTGCTTTCCTTCAGATGATACGTCTGCTCGATTACCGGCTTATGCCATAAAAAAACTAAAAAAAAAAAGATATAAAAAATAACCTATTGACTTTTGGACTATTGTAAGCTTTATTGGAATCGGCCCACGTGGCAAGGGTTGAGGCGTCATGCACACATAAATGTCCTACAGTCGGTGGCGCTGTGTGTTGGGTTGTTGCGTTCCCAATAAAAAGGTTGACCGGACCAATTGTTGACACACACGTCATATTCCTGAACGGGTGCCTTCTGCTGGGTCAGGTCGGCTCTCCCATCTTGTTGGTGGGCTGATTTCGTAGAGCCGTCGAAATAGATATAAATAGATAATAGCTAATTATTATGTAATTTATATACTTTTAGTAATAATTATAGATGTGGTTAATTATAGTGTGTAACTAGGAACCTTCTTTACTTTATAAAAATTGATTAGAAGTATTGTAATAAAAATAGTATGACAAGAGCACGGACCAAGAGTCCATGGAGAATTAATCTGTAACATTAAACTGTCAAACACCGCGAGGACACCGGTGACGCAACCTATTGTTCTTTAATTGTGTCTATAATGACGGTAGTCAAAGGGTTAAAAAACAACTTACTAATAATGCTTATTACATCAATGCCTACATTCTTGCCGTATCATTAAATCGCCTGTATTTTAGACCTGCATTGATTTATGTCAAACGCAAAATTCTACATCAGCAAATATACAAGGTGTTGTTTTAAAGCCGCGTCATTTTCTAGGAGGTAACTCGGCTATCGATTCTGAGTGCAAATCAATAAAAAAAATGGTAGGTAAATATTTTTCACTTTTCTTCTAAATCCGTAAGTGCGAACTACACGCCACCGTCTTGTAACTAGCTTTATAACGCGGCTTAACTTAATTTTTAGACTTTGTTTAGATATTAAGATTTATTTTGTAATCTGGCTTTTTACACCAAATAAACATTTTATTATTATTTTTATTTTAAATTCTCTATAAAATACATTTTTAAATACTACTTACAAAAACATAAAAATAATATTTAAAAATATAAAAAATAGGAGCCGACCAGTAGAGCGCGCTACATGTCACACAGCTTGCTACGCGCAGTAGTTACAGCTGTGTACAGTCTGTCACTCTCTCAGCACTCCCCTACACTCCCCTAGCGCGCTACATGTCACACAGCTTGCTACGCGCAGTAGTTACAGCTGTGTACAGTCTGTCACTCTCTCAGCACTCCCCTACACTCCCCTAGCGCGCTACATGTCACACAGCTTGCTACGCGCAGTAGTTACAGCTGTGTACAGTCTGTCACTCTCTCAGCACTCCCCTACACTCCCCTAGCGCGCTACATGACACACAGCTTGCTACGCGTAGTAGTTACAGCTGTGTACAGTCTGTCACTCTCTCAGCACTCCCCTACACTCCTCTAGCGCGCTACATATCACACAGCTTGGTACGCGCAGTAGTTACAGCTGTGTACAGTCTGTCACTCTCTCAGGACTTCCCTACACTCCCCTAGCGCGCTACATGTCACACAGCTTGCTACGCGCAGTAGTTACAGCTGTGTACAGTCTGTCACTCCCTCAGCAGTCCTCTACACTCCCCTAGCGCACTACACGACACACAGCTTGCTACGCGCAGTAGTTACAGCTATGTACAGTCTGTCACTCTCTCAGCACTCCCCTACACTCCCCTAGCGCGCTACATGTCACACAGCTTGCTACGCGCAGTAGTTACAGCTGTGTACAGTCTGTCACTCTCTCAGCACTCCCCTACACTCCCCTAGCGCGCTACATGTCACACAGCTTGCTACGCGCAGTAGTTACAGCTGTGTACAGTCTGTCACTCTCTCAGCACTCCCCTACACTCCCCTAGCGCGCTACATGTCACACAGCTTGCTACGCGCAGTAGTTACAGCTGTGTACAGTCTGTCACTCTCTCAGCACTCCCCTACACTCCCCTAGCGCGCTACATGTCACACAGCTTGCTACGCGCAGTAGTTACAGCTGTGTACAGTCTGTCACTCTCTCAGCACTCCCCTACACTCCCCTAGCGCGCTACATGTCACACAGCTTGCTACGCGCAGTAGTTACAGCTGTGTACAGTCTGTCACTCTCTCAGCACTCCCCTACACTCCCCTAGCGCGCTACATGTCACACAGCTTGCTACGCGCAGTAGTTACAGCTGTGTACAGTCTGTCACTCTCTCAGCACTCCCCTACACTCCCCTAGCGCGCTACATGTCACACAGCTTGCTACGCGCAGTAGTTACAGCTGTGTACAGTCTGTCACTCTCTCAGCACTCCCCTACACTCCCCTAGCGCGCTACATGTCACACAGCTTGCTACGCGCAGTAGTTACAGCTGTGTACAGTCTGTCACTCTCTCAGCACTCCCCTACACTCCCCTAGCGCGCTACATGTCACACAGCTTGCTACGCGCAGTAGTTACAGCTGTGTACAGTCTGTCACTCTCTCAGCACTCCCCTACACTCCCCTAGCGCGCTACATGTCACACAGCTTGCTACGCGCAGTAGTTACAGCTGTGTACAGTCTGTCACTCTCTCAGCACTCCCCTACACTCCCCTAGCGCGCTACATGTCACACAGCTTGCTACGCGCAGTAGTTACAGCTGTGTACAGTCT